CATAATGAAAATAAACGCATTTGTCAACAGCACTATTCTTAATATAATTCCCAAATTTAAGCTCATAATGTCTTGTTAATTATTTTTTTAAAATTCGCTAAAATTAGTTACTAAAACGACTAGTTAAGTGCTATATTCTGGTGAAACGCGCCTGTAACTAGTATCGTACAGTCTCAGTAATCATTTCTTGCAACGATTTACACTAGTTTACATCAGAAGATAGCACTTATAGAGGCATTTTAGTCACTAATTTTGGCGAATTTTCAAAAATCATGAACAAGACATTAAGAGTTTTAATTTGGGGATTATACTAAGAATAGTGCTGTTGAGGAATGCATTTATTTTCATTATAATATTTCAAAATTTAAAGCCCTTTGATTTTTTCTCGGAAATTGGTAGGAATTAAAACTTTAAAATATAGACATATTCTAGATATTACTGCCCAATTTATTTTGGCAAAATTTAAATTTTTTTAAAAAATTACTTTTTGAGATAGCCTTGTTTGAAAATTATAAGGGGTGCTGTAATCACCTTAAGTAAGGATAATAACAACAAATTACTGGTTGGATCAACTATAGCTAGATGTAGTACAAACAAATAAATAAATCAGTTTTTTTTAACGTGCTGCTTGTCTCACATATTTGTTATAAACAGTCAGTCATAACAAACTGTCACACCACAAATCGTTCCCGCACAAAAGACAATGTATTTTAATTATTATTAGAACACGTAGGTAATAATAATTATGATTGTTTTTCATCCATCCGCTTTAAGAATAATATGGGCGCCTTTTGCTATTGGTTACGCATCCCACTTAATAATTTCTCTCACCATTATCCGACTCACCTTAGTCGTTTTTCACAAAGAGTAACACCCAATTAAACAACCATTTTCACCTGGTAACGCACCAGCTGAGAGCCAGCGTTGCCATTGCTGAGAAATTGCGATTTTAAACAGATTTTTGTAACCTCTACGTGACATTTTTTTATAAACAGTTAAAAATACAGTCACTGTTCGATAAATTGCAACATTAGTGGCAGAAATATTGTTTTACAAATCCAATTATTCAGATAGAAAATCCTAGGATCTCTTGGTACTTAAAATCATAATAATTACCTAAAACTGTTAAGTAATGATTACTTAACAATTTTAGTCCAGTGATATAAAAAAATATAAACAAATTCCTTGGAAATCCTCAAACAAATCCCAAAATTATTCCTACGAAATCATTAATAATTTTTGGGGAACCACCAATGTGAAAACAAATTAAACGCAGACGGGGGATTTGAACCCACCTATTCGTGTTTTACGCACACCGTTCTTACCAACTAAGCTATCACGGACATAGTTAATGACTTCCAAATTGTTTGGATGAATATATATGATTTCGAATCCAATCTCGTTTACAGAGAAGATTGGACTGGAGAAGATTGTTCAAAAAATCGCCTTGTAGTGTTAGCATCATTGGGATACCCATACCAGATTTTGGTACGTCTACAAGCAGTCCCATTTTATTTCTTAAATTTTCAATAATCATAGTTTTTCCTTCTTTCATTGCAATTTTAGCTTTCTCGTCTCTTACTTGCCATTTCTGAATGTTTAGATGATATGAAATATTCAATAATGTTTCAAACCTTCTTATCCACGCATGTAGGGTAGATAACCCGAACTTATAATGCTCTACATTTGTAACTGGTTTAATAATTTTTTCAATATTATTCATAGTTTAAGAAGTGGCTACACAAATACCACAAGTTTGTGTTGACGTTTCAGTAACAGCTCCAAAAATGTTGCCATCTATCATCGTCAGTTGGAAGCTATGGTTAATAATTATTTATTGTGCTCCAAGGAAAACTTGTGTAGGTAAAATGTCCTTAATTTGATTGTCCACGCTTGTAATTTCTTTTTGGCTTAATTCTGTAGTGTTCTTTTTGGAACAATAATTTAATTGGTCTAAGTAATCTTGTTGTTGAAGAAGGACATTTCATTGTTCCAAAAAATAATATCAATATCATTCTGCGGTTCAGTGATTCCGTCACTAAATTTCTGTTTGTAACTTGAATGATTTGAACTTCCCCATTTGTAAATTAAGGTCAGGTTATTGGTCATTACTAGTTTGTAATAGTACCTCTTCTTAAACCATTGCAATTCTTCTACCAGTATGATCGACAAGTGCTTGCAATTTTACTTTACCGCAGGTTTCCGAGCAATATCTATTTTCTTTGTTGGGATAACAAAACTCTTTAGCTTTTTTATTTTATTATAGGATAGATAAATATCTGCACTACGTGATTTGGCTCCAGATTTCATGAGCTGATATGAATGTTTTGCAAAACTGCCATCAACATATAAAGCTTCATTTGGTGTATATTTCATTATATCTTGATTTTGTAAAATAAAAGCCTTTTTTACCCTTGTCGCTCCATTTGGAGAATTTGTTGTTAAACTTTGTATTATTTGTACAACATTTCGTTTGCCAGCCTTTCTCAAATTAGTCGTAGCAGCAAAAGTTAATTCATTTGTAGAATAGCTTTCAACTAATCACAAAATTTTATATTTTTTTGACTTACTACCTACTACGCTGAACTCTTTAGATGGTTAACCTTTTTAGGGGTTTTGGGAGGTATATATTTCACAAAGTCATTCAGCCAGTTGTCATGTCGCACGAGAAAATTTGTACCAATCGATTGCAATTTTTTCATTTCTCGGCAAATTGGCTATTCAAATTTTTCACACCTCTTTTAATATACTGATGAGTACTTTCCTCATCTTGTTCCATTTGAAATTTCTCCATAATATAATTGAAAACTGCAGCGTTTTTATTGTTTACACGATCTTCTTGACGCCAGATTTCAAAAAGTTCTCTTCTGGTTACAGACATGGTAACTAAAAAATAATAATATGTTAATTGGTTGCAGATTTGCGTAACGAAAATATTTGTACATAGATTAACAATAAACAGTAGATTATAAAAAAAAATAAATTAAAACAAATCCATCCAGATCTGGGAAATGCAAGTCCTATTAATTTATATAAGATTACTAAAAAAATAGCACAATTGTTTGTAATGAAACTACCATATTGACAGAGAACTTAATAAATTTGGCTCAAACGGCTTTCATCTTGGTATACGACCGCTGTAGCATACAAGCTTATCCTGCAAAAATAGCAAAAAGTCGAGAAATGTTTGAGAAATATTTAGTAGGATTCGTTTAAAATAAGATTTGGCTGCATAACTTATAAATTGCATATGGTATAGACAACCTCTAAAAGAGGAGTTTTATGATCCGACAAACGTGAATATCTTTCTCATTGTTTAGCTCAAAAGACTTAAAAGAAAGCAAAATACCGTACATCTCATAGCGCTATAAACAGCGTTAAAAGTACAAAAATGTTCGCGCACGCTGTCCGCCCCAAAACCCGTCCCTGACATTTTACACGGTGTAATTCAATAAATCCTAATTGGCAACGCCGCCCAGCTTCTCTCCTTTTCGCCCGTTCTCCTCGACAAACCCGATTGTAGTAGTAATTATAATTGTTTTACTTATATGGCCACTTGTCGGTTATTCAGCGAACATGGCGCCCAATAAACAAAAGATATAATCGCCGCGCGGCCCGCTTCGCCTGATTTGCAATTTCGTTGCCGGCTTTTAATTGACGTGGCACCTCTCTCCAATCTCCAATTGGGAGATGGTGAAGAATAATACCAATGAGCGGTTCGTTGGATTCCTCAATTTATGTATACAAGATTACCTAAGATGGCCAGATTTTAACATTGGTGAAGTGTGACAAAATTGACAGGTAACATTGGGGAGGAGAAAAGGGGGAGAAGTGCTTATTCAGGTGAAAAATATTGTTTTAAACCAACAAAACTTTAGATGACAAAAATTATACACTGGCGAGTAAAAAATTGAGGTCACCTTAAAATTTTCATGTTCTTTGAAATTTTACGTTTTCAGATCGTATTCGCAAACTGTACATCATTGCATGTGCTTTTGTAAGCTGAATGTGATACTCTATACTAAACAGAAATTCATTTTTTTCTTGGATTTCAAGATTTATTTTGAAAAAGCAACAAATTAACATTTTGGGCGAAATTCAACATTTCGTTGTCAGGGAAAATATGGAACGAACAAAATGAAAAAACTTGACACTAATAATGTGTATTCCCTCCTCTTGCATTGATGACTGCTTGAAGTCGGCGCAAACATGTTCTATGGGATTCATGTCTGGGCTGCGGGCTGGCCAGTCAAACTGCTTAATTCCTACCTTATCCAGATACTCCCTGACAATTTTGGCTGTATGTGGTCTCGCATTATCTTGCATAAAAATGCTACGTTCCCCCATAGTCACCATGAAAGGCATAACATGGTCTTCTATCACCTCCGTAATGTACCTGTGAGAGGTTAGGGAGCCATTTTCTATGAAAACCAACTCTGTACGAGCTTGTGCAGTGATTCCCACCCAAACCATAACTGACCCACCGCCAAATGGAAGACGCTCGTCCATGCAAACTTCAGCATATCTTTCCCCAGGTCTTCTCCACACTCGTCGACGTCCATCTGACCCAATGAGGCAAAAACACGACTCATTTGAGAATAATACCCAGCTCCAGTCATCATCATTCCAAGAACGTGATCTTTGACAAACGTCAATCTTGCTGTCCGATGCTGGCGTTGCAACGGGGGACCTGTAATCATTCTTCTGCATGACAGTCCAGCAGCATGAATTTGTTCCCTTTGTTACTTCCATGAGTGACTGAAATTGAGAACCTATCTATTGTATGTGTGTTGAAATTAAATTTGTATCTCTGCTCTCTTTCCTTTGGACGTAATCCAATTCCTATTGCGGTATTAGCCAAAGGAGTAGTTGTTTTCCGAAGGGAAACTATCGATTGCATTTTGTGACATATACCTTGGCGTTTATCGATTTTATTTTATTAGTACACTTAAAATTATTAACTTAAATCATGTTGATAGTATTTTTTTCGTTCTTTTCAGTTTTTGATCGTGCGCGACTCCCATGAGTTGGGTCCGTGCTATCAAAATTGCTTCGGACCTGTGACGAAATTAAAAATCTTCAATCAAGCTTCCGGTGGGTTTCTACACGTCAAAGGCAGGACTGTTGTAGCGGCAATCGAAGGAGATGGTAAGTCAAAATCCAAGTCTGTACCTTAGTATCAAAAGGTCTGATATTCATTTGAACTGATGTTATCCCTGTTAAGTATTACATCGTTTGGTATAAAAGTCGGTAGTCAACAGTTTATTAATAGCTAGGAAATGGCTGATTTGTGTCCATTTGAGTTTAGAATCATAAAAAGCATAATAAGAAAATAAAAAAATGTGTGAACGATTGCACGGAAAAAAAATTGTAGAAGAAATTTCTACAATTATAGATTTTTTTTCTACAATAAATAGTACATATAGGGACAGGGACAATTTGTAGTAAAAATTTCCAAATATTTGTGGAGAATGTATTGTAGAGTTATTATCTACAATATTTAGTAAAAATATCCAAATGCATCATAAGAATTGTTCTACAAATTGTTATAATTTTTGCTATTCATTGTATGAATTTATATTAAAAATGTATTGCGTTTTATGAAAATAAATACGAAAATTTTACACAATAAATAGTAAAAATTCATACAAATTGTAGTAATTTTTAATAGAACTTGTAGTAGTATTCCATAATTCTTATAATTATAACCTAGAAAAAAAATGTTCCTTAATAAAATATTCAATTTATTGTTTTAATATAAAAGATACAAAGTCTTAATTACATTTTGTAATAAATAACAGTAATAATAGCACCCTCTGTCTCAGTTGGCTTTTCTGCACCTGAAAAATATGAAATAAAAATTAATAACAATTCAACTGTTCATACCCTTAAAACGGGGATATTTATCACCTTTACACTGATTTGGATATTAAATGACTAAGTCAGATAACTAACAAAAATGAGAAAGTAGGTATGTCACAATTAAGACAAAAAACATCATTGAATTTGGCACAAAATTCGATCGTTCGGCACAACATTCGATCGTTGGCCATAACTATTTTTTTTTAAATAATCTACTAAGGTTATTTAAATTAGTTATCTAAAGGTAAATTATTCAAAAACAATAATAAATGTACTTACCACCAATAGAATTTATTATTAAAATTTTCTCAAACGCATCGGTGCTTATAATATAATGTGTTATAGGTACTCGTATATGTACCATGCTTTGTTATGTGAACATGGCGAACGGCTACTGCTGTCTGGCCATTTATGATCGACGTCAGAAAACGTTGGCCAATAGCAGAATTCTGTTTTGTTCACATGACTTAGAATCTCTACAATATTATAGAATATTTTTGAACAAAATTGAATATTTTTCATAAGAAGGGATGTAAATTATTACTATTTTTTGTAGAGAAAATTACTATTTTTTGTAGAGATAATTATTAATATTTGTACAAATTTTTTCAGAAGTTACTAGTAGTAATTACGATAATTGTAATAAATTTCTACTTCTACAAACAATAGTAAAATATACTAAACATTGTGGAATTCTTTCCTATTGTTATAGCATTTTATTCGACAATTCAATTGCTACAATAATGAATAGTTTTTAACTATAAATTGTAGTAAAATTTTCTACAAATTGTTAAGTATTTTTCTACAAGTCTACTACTACAACATTGTAGTAAAATTTTCTAGTCACATTTTTTTCCGTGTGCTATTTAGAGTCCAAAAGGAATCACAAAATTCTTTTGTTAATTAAGACGGTATTATCAAAATAAAATTATAAATGCTAATTGTTCTACAAAAACATCGTGGAAAGTGATTGCACGTTGCACAACTAAACAACAAAAGTCAAACTAACAAAAATATCACTATTAAGAATGCTGATGGGAAATTAATTTAAGATTCTCTTGTTCTGCCTGATTTGTTTAATAACTTTTTTAGTAACGCTACTTATGAAATAATTAATAATGTATCTTCAAACACTCTGTAAAAATAACGGTAATGGTTTATTTATAAATCTCACTGGGCCAGATGAAATACGGATAGTGGTATATTAATTTTGAAGTTTCTTGAAAAAACAATGAAGTGAAAACAGTTTTTCGCTCTGTATTAAAGTTACTAAAATGAATATCTGACTTTATGATACTAATATACAGATTAAATTTTATTTATTAAGCGATTACTTAACAATATTTATTTTTAATTGCATTTATTAATTCATCGATGCATTTACAGTGACAGCCAGTCATTTGAAACTAAGTTAGAATGGTTGCCTGGTGACACAAACCACAAATATTAGGTTGATGCCAAAACGGATTTTAAATGCTGAAAAAATTAATAACAGGTAAGAACCAGACATATAGATAGGGTTATAACTAAAAAAACCAAAAACACGAGAGATTGGAAAGGGGTGAAATGGTGGTGCAGTTTAGGGGTTAAAAACGGTTTTTGCGTTTTGCGGCGAAATGTGAAAACCTAGCAAAAAGTATTCAATACAAAAGCTGTAGACAATGAAAAAATCTAAAACTTTGGTATATGATGTTTTTCAACATAACCTCAAATTTTCCGAGAAAATTGCAAAACACCGATTTTTCGGTTTTTAATTTTTTTTCTAAAGTAAAAATAATTTAATTTACATGAAATTTGGTAAAAGTGAAACTTTTTTAGTGTTAAATAAGCATAATTTTTTTTTATTTTAAAAAACGAGTAGTTTCCGAGTTATTTACATTTTTCGAAAAAAATACTCTAAACTTCCACGAAAAACTTTATTGATGTTTTTCTCGATTTCAAGGTTTAACAAGGGCTCATTTTAACCGTTGAAATGTCTACTTTCAGATGGTCTATACATGTTGATAGTTTATTTTTGATGTAATCAATAAAAATTGAGAAAAACTGAAAAAAGTCAGGAAATTTTCAACATTTTTAATTATTCTTTAGAGCAGTTTTTTCGAAAAATGTAAATATCTCGGAAACTACTCGTTTTCGAAATTCAAAAAAATGTATGCTTATTTAACACTAAAAAAGTTTAATTTTCTCCAAATTTCAGGTATATTAAATTATTATTACGCTAGAAAAAAATTAAAAACTGAAAAATCGGGTTTTCGCAATTTTTTCGTAAAATTTGAGGTAATGTTTAAAAACGTCAAATACAAAAGTTTTAAATTTTTTCATTATCTACAACTTTTGTATTGAACACTTTTCGCTAGGAGCTCACGTTTCGCCGAAAACTGCTCCCCCATTCTACCCCTTTCCAATATCTTGTGTTTAAAAGTTTTTGGTTATTTTGGTTATAACCCTAACTACATGTTCCACCTGGTCCTTACCTGTTAATAATTTTTTTTTAAAACAGTATCAGCACTAGCTTATATTGAATTAACAGGGGTTTGATTTTATTTTCGAGAAATACGACTTAATTCGGTAATATATAGATTCTGATATTTAAATGCGGACAATGCAAGCCAAATCTATTAGGAACGGGCATAAGTGAATGTGAGGAGGAAGTCGTACATAGCGTGCGCCAGGTGACATAATAGGTAATGCGCCGCTTAGTGGTCTTTGTTTATTTCACGCGTGGTCCTACTATATTTAGTATATATATTTAGGTTCTATAATAGTTAGCCTGTTAAGCTATTCAGTTTCATAATACAGTAACCTTCATTCATAAAAAAATAATACATGTTGTCCACCCTTCACTATTAGTTGGATATTAATGCAAGGGCTTCTAAATCAACAAAAGAAGGAATTTCTCGTACATAACTTAACTTCTTCATCAGGAACTTAATTGATCTGAACCCCAACATCCCAACTAATTTCGTAAATACACCTGAACACACATCCATATTTTTTCTTTTGTTTTCAGGTATCATATATAGGATTTCGGCGGGACGAAATTTCTACCTGTACGATATGAAAGCAGAAAAGTTTATATGTTGGAAAAAACTCCACAAAACAAAAGGACAGCGAAACAACAGAACGCAGAAATTCTCTACGTCCTTAATAGCGAGGGTAAGTTAGTTAATTATTTCGTGTACATTTTTGATCGTGTATTAATTAATAGATATATCTATTAGTGAATAACGCATAAATTAATATTATTAATCATCGTATATTACATTTTTTTGTAAAGGAAACCTGATTTTCACTGATTTGACTAAAATAGTTTATTAATTAATAGAAAACCCAAATATTAATAAGTGTCCAAAATATAAATTAATCAAACTCATAAATACTAGTATAATGGAAGTGATTACTTAATAACCACAAGTATTAATAAAGCTATTAAAGCTCGACATCGTTGTATAACAGAATTTCAGAATATATATTCTTTGTCTTAACTAAAATAGTTTATAATAGAAAAGTGATTCATTAATAGAGGTTATTAATAAACGATTTTATAAATATTAGTAAACGGTTTTATAAACCTTAATCAAACTAATCATCAGACGGTGGACTAAAATAATTATTTATTTAATATGTGCAAAAACACGATTATTAATTAATAGAAAACCCATTTATTAATAAGCGTTATAATACGTACATTAATCAAATCCATAAACACTCGTTTAACGGAAAAAGTCATTTAATATTTAGTGTAAGCAATTAATACTCGATATTTTACAGCGTTGAGATTAATAATCGCTGTTTGAAACACGAGTTAGCTACAAAAATTTAGTCAACGTATTATAGAAGATATTTTAGTGAACAATCTTGGTAAAATTATATATTTTAATTGTTCATACTAAAATTATTTAACAATTAAAACAGTGATTTATTAATTGCGATTTATTATTTATTAGGAGAATTAATAAAAGCTATTAATATTTCGACATTTTACCGCGTTGAGATTATTAATCGCCGTTTGTATTTACAAAAGTTAATTATGATAAGTAAGTAACTGATCTTGATAACAGGATATATTTTGTTTGTCTGTACCCAAATCGTTAAAAATTCGATTATTAATTAATAGAATACTCATTTTTTACAGAGGTCTTGAATATATAATTAATAAAACTCATAATAATCGTTTTACGAAAATAGTTATTTAACGAACAGGGACGTTTAATACTCGACATTTTTCCCCGTTGAGATTATTAATCGGCGTTTGAATCAACGTGTTACAAAAGATATTTTATTGTCTTATCTTGACGACAGGATAATTTTTATTCATACTTAAAACATTTGTTAATAGAAAAGTAATTTGTTTATAGGAGTGATTAATGAATGATTTTATGAACATTAATCAAATTCATAAATAGGCATAAATAGTTTTTTATGTAAAAAAGTAGAGAAATACTAATACTAATTAATATAAAACACATTTTATTAATAGCGTCCTGAATATACACTAATCAAACTATTAAATATTCGTTTAACGAAAATAATAATTATTTAACGAATATAGGTATTAATAAGCGCGGTTAATACTAAACATTTACCGTGTTGAGATTATTAATCGCAATTTGAAGTAAGAGAAAATGAATCAATGTGTTATAACATATATTTCTTTGACATATTTGAATGACAATATATATTTTGTTAGTCTGTACTAAAATCGTTTAATAATATAAATTCGATTCATTAATAAAGGTCATTAATAAAGGATTTCATTATCAATATAATCAAACAGAACGAAAATAATTATTTATGTAAAAACAGTGAAAAAACGCGACTATTAATTAATAGAAAACCCATTTATTAATAAAGATCCTAAATATACATTAATCAACCTTTATCTATTCGTTTAACGAAAATAGTTATTTAACAAATATGTGTACCAATTAGAACAATTAATGTTTGAAATTTTACAGCATTATTAATATTAATTGCCGTTTAAAATAAAAGTTAATCAACGTATTATAACGGATATTTTAGTGACAGATCTTGACGACATACAGGGTGGTCCATATTTGTGGAATATATTAATTATTGGCTTTATTATTACGTTTTGAAAAAAATCCTTGAACAGGTCGATTTCTATTTATAAAATGACATTTTCTGAACAAAATTATTTATCTCCCCCTTCAACCCCTTCGTAGTAAAAGTCACCCCTTTAATTCTTTTTAAATAGAAAGGGGTAGCGTGTGATACCTCATTTTAAAGGGTTTTTAATTCCCTATTCAGCAGTATAAGATTTTTTGTTTTTTGTACATTTATATTTAAGAAACATAATTTTTTACTTTTAACTATTCTATTAATAATACTACAAGTTTATGGTATTAAATGTTCAAAATGACTGTTGTTAACTTCTTGACAATAACCAATGCGGTTATTAAATTCTTGAAGAACATTTTGTATGACGTCCGGGCCAATTTTTTCAATTTCTTCAGTGATTCTTTCTTTTAATTCGTCAATAGTCTCCGGTCGATTTAAATACACTTGAGACTTTAAGTGGCCCCAGAGAAAATAATAAATCGGCGTTAAATCGGGAGATCGAGGTGGCCATTCAATGGCTCCATGCCTGCCAATCCATCTGTCAGAAAATACTTCATTCAAGTAGTCTCTCACTCCACGTGCAAAATGTGGTAGAGCACCATGTTGTTGGAACCAAACATTTCTCTATTTCATCTGGATTGTTATTATCAGGATACATAACTTGTAATTGAGGTACCAAAAAATTTGTTAAAAAATATAAATATCCTTCACCTGTCAGAGAGTCATCAAAAAAGTAAGGCCCAATGATTTTATTTTCAATAATACCACACCACACATTCACCTTTTTAGGAAACTGAGTGTGAGTCTCCATTATCCAATGAGGATTTTCTCTGCTCCAATAACGAGAATTGTGTCGGTTGACAGTACCATTTAAGTAAAACGTTGCTTCGTCCGAAAAAAGTATTTTCTGTAAAAACTGCACATCTGCCTGACATCTGTTCATTATTTGTTCACAGAATTCTGGCCTTCGGTCTGAATCGTCCTCAGATAACTCCTGTACCAACTGAATTTTATAGGAATGGTACTTTTCTTTAAAAATTAAAGGGGTGACTTTTACTCCGAAGGGGTTAAAGGGAGAGATAAATAATTTTGTTCAGAAAATGTCATTTTAGAAATAAAAATCAACCTGTTCAAGGATTTTCCTCAAAACGTAATAATAAAGCCAATAATTAATATATTCCACAAATATGGACCACCCTGTATGTTTCGTTTGTACTAAATTCGTTTATTAATAGAAAAGGTATTCAATGAACATTAATCAAATTCATTAATACACGGTGCACAAAAATAGATATTTTTGAAAAGGTCTGTTTTTATTATGTATTTTTTTCTATTGTTCCAGAAATTCAGCAACTACAACTGTCAATTTATGGATAAAATAGGCAAAGACACGAGAAGCGGGTACGTGAACCTAGTGCCGGCCTTCAACAGCAGCCTTAAAATGAAATTCAACAACAAAGGCAGAGACTCCCAGTTCCAGAATTGCACGGCGTCCACCCAACGGACCAGGCATGCGCACAAGTGGTGCTTCGTGCAGGCGAGTTTTCTAATCCAGCGGTACATAGACGATAGGTACGACGACGACAGAGCCTGTAAGTGTCCAGAAGCGCGTCGGCATTTTTGCCAAAGAAAATTCGCGAAAATGAAAGTATTCGAAGACATTTGCAGTCTATCTAACGAAACTTATGATTTTTAGAGAAAAAGTATTGTTTTTTTTTGTAAAATAGTTGGTCAAAGTAGAATGACGATTCTAGCTGATAAAAGTGTGTAAAATTTAATTGTAGATGATCCCTCGTAAGGAATATAGTTAATTTTTTCATTCACCCTCGTATCGAAATATTTCTATATTCGAGTAAGGCTCTATTTTATAGTGAATTTATTTTTATTATTAGTAATAGTATTAAGCATTATTCAAATAACAAATTTAGGTCCCAAATGTCTTCTTTTTTGTCTAATATGTACAGAAGAAATGAGATCATTGGTCTTTCTCTCAAATAAGCAAGACATAGTATACATGATATAAAAAGCTTCTTTTCTTTCTAATTTATGTTTCAAATTTCTGCTTCTTTTCGTCTAATAGAAATGCAAGACAAAAATCAATTAAAAGATTCTTAATTAAACCCTTTTAAAATAATTATATTATTAAATAAAATTAATAAAACTCGCTAAAAACTTCACAACGTTAAAATATATTCTAAGAAGAACACAACTTGCCTTTTACACAATTCTTCAGTAGCCATACATTTTATTGACAGCTCTTTAGTGATAAAAGTAGAATTCTGTTCAACTTTTTTAATAAATTGAATATACCCTTTTTGAATATTTTGTTCAGCTTGTGCTTATGCATAACATTATTACTAATAATAAAAATAAGGTCACTACAAATGGACCCTAAGACTAGCGTGTGTATAATGTTAACTATTGTGTTTGAAAATTTTAAGGTTAATGTTGAAATTCAAAATTAAAGCATGAAATTGTAATACATGCGTACATAGTTTTTCATTTATAATGAACTATACAGGGTGTTTCTTAATAACATGCTAATATTTAAGGGGGTGATTCTTGGACTTATTTTAAGAAAAATACTTCATATGAATGTATGTCCTAAACGTCTTAACATTTAAGATATGGGTGTTAAAGTTTTAAGAGAAAAATCAATTTTCATACGACTTTAAATATTTCCATGAAAATTTGTGTACGGCGTTTGTGCATTAAAGAACAGTTTTTTACCTGAAAACTTTTTTATTTCCAACAGTGGCGTCCGTATTGGAGTCAGACAAGATATTTTGAAAGAAAAAGTAGTACACCACTGCTTCCTCTTGAACTAATAAATTATTTTTGGAGTCCCCAATCAATTTAGGACAAATTTAATTTCTTGACATTTATCGTACGACTTACCGTTTTTGCATTTGCATCTCATTGGACTAATTACGAGAAAAAAAACTATTAATGTAACTTTGAACAATAATTTATTTAAGAGGATTGAATTTTTGTGCGAAAACGGTCAAGAAATTTAAATTTGTTCTAAATTAAACGGGGAGAGCAGTGGCGTACTACTTTTTCCTTAAAAAATATCTAGTCTAAGTCCAGTACGGACGCCACTGTTGAAAATAAAAAAATGTCTTTAGGTCAAAAAAAATATTTAAAGTGGTATGAAAATGACAATATTCATATGAAGTTTTCTTCTTAAAATGGGTAAAAGAATCACGACCTTAAATATTAGCACATTATTAAGAAACACCCTGTACAGTAACTGGTAGAAAATTTATTTAAAATCTAGCAGCATTATTAGAAACATTTAAAAAAATAATTAAAATATTATCTTATAAACAAAGTTTTGCAAAATACCATATGGTCAAATATTCCTACTAGTTAAATAGGGGTAATATAGTTGCAATATTATTGAGATATATGCACAAATAATATTTTTCTACGCACAGATTACAAAACAAAAATGTATGCTATTGCCTTTAACTGAACGAATATATTTCATATCCATTTTAGGTAGTAAGAACACTGCAAGAAAATGAAATCCACCAATCACAGTTTATATTTTGATCAACCGACTGCTATTATTTTTAAAATTTTAAATAAGTGACAATTCTGTCAAACTAATTGTCAATACATTCTTTAGTTATTGAGATTAAACATGCATTAAAATGGGTTATTCTTGTGTAGAATCAATAAATAGCATTTATTTTTTTATTTCGTCTATAATTATAAATAATTTATTAATTTAAATAAAACTATATTAAGTAAAGTTAATTGCGAGTATTAAAGCAACATAAATAAAAGAATAGGTGGTTCTGTGGTTAGCGTTCTTGACTTCCACGCGGAAGATTGGAGTTCGATTCTCGGATGTGGAAAAATGAAATTATCTTTTTTCTTTTTTTTTTTTCGTTTATTTTAAAAATTATTAAAGGTCATACATTATTTTAAAATTAGTTATTTTGTCTTAATAACCTAAAATAGTTTTTTATTTGTAAATTTTCGTTAGTGGGTCGTAGAAAAACTATACTGTACAACTCGAGTGGATTGTCTCCGCCTACGGCGTCGTGCTCAAATTTCATCTTCGTGCGATATGGCCATTATATCCACTCTTGTTGCACAAACTACTATTCTGCACATTTTATTTTATCCTGCTTTTTTTAGCAAAATATTAATATTTTGAGTCCCTCAACCTGTGATTGAAATATTTATCATTATTAAATAGTTGAAAACTATTTCCTTCAAATATAAGAAATAAAAATATAAGAAATTTACAATACTTGTAAATATTAATAAAAAATATTTATGAGAAAAAAGTGGTTAAAACAACAATTAATTTTTTTACGGTACTTGACTAGTCTGATTAATAAATTTTTTAGCTCCAAAATCCGTAATTAAAAATATTTCTTAATCATTTTTTATTAGGAAGATATATAATCATCACGTATATATAACTTGGTTTATTGGTTTATTTTTGTTTAACCAACAATAATGAAATTAAATACGACATCCATATATTTCAAAATAGGTATTTTAAGCCAAGTAGCAACAAAAACATTGTAAATTTTACTAGTTATCAAGAAGGCCTTGTTTTCTTTTTTTCTTAAAAATATCGGTTTAGTATTAGCTCTTCCAAATTAAATATTAAAAAATAAGGATTCACTTTTTCAATGTCCTGTATTCAGACATATCTTGTTTACTATTAACTATAGAGAAAAAGTTTGATATAATTTTTCCGCCATTATCATTTCGATTTAGGAAACGAAACAATCGCAATTGCATTCCTTATGTCAAATTAATAAATTATTAATTATCGAACTATATTACGTTATTTTGAAACAGTAAAATTATGTGTGTAATAATCGCATTAAATCGTTTTATGCGTTTTAAAAATTTTGTTAATTGGTTCATATTTTGAAAATACATCAATATTTTGTTGCATAACATAACTTTGCAGATTCTTTTTTTAATTTTCCTGTAGTACAATTTTTTTCACGATAGTCAGGGAAAATTATTCTAAAAATTGGAAAATTTGTTTATGAAGTAAAGAATTTAATACAGCGGTTACCCACGCATATTTAAAATCCATAACTTTTTCTCAATAAAATTTGTTGATATCAACACAACATTTTTTTTGTATATCTAATAATGATAATAAAGGGTTGGTAATTTATAATGAATAACCCTAAGCATAATTTTTCTGGATCATATATTGTTTATATTTTAGTCCAAGGAGATTTAATAACCTTGGGAACACTGTAAAAATAAAAAGTGCCTACTAAATTAGAAACTAGATATTTATTTAATTATATTTAGTTATTTTTTGAAAAACGCAAAAGGAAAACTAAATAACAAAATAAATATCTTAAAAACATTCTACAAACTGACAAAGACTCTAAATTGTAATAGTCCAAATTGTAATTACATTTTTTTGATGTCGCGTCAAACAATTTAAATAAAATATCTAAATATTTAAAACAGAGCTACTTTCAATTCATAAAAATATTATGATCTATCGATCATATGACATTCTTGTAAAGGTATCAAATATATTCAGTATGCTCTATCTAGTCAAAAAATATTTAAAATTATTTCCGCAAATTTCTCCATTATGGTCCATTTTACAGAAATCACGTATAAAACAAAAAATATATAGAGTGACAACGCAAACAATTCATATTAACTCATAATATATATACAGGGTGGCTCACGCTCAACGGGACGGAGCTTTATGGGAAAACGACCAAAGATATAAAAAATTCGTGTGGGAGGAATACGTAGGTTACAGACGGCTACAATTTAAAATTTGTTAGATGTATACAGGATGTCCCACATAAGAGAAAATATACAAAGTTATATTATTTTTAATGGAACACCCTGTTTTTTATTTTAGAATTAAAAACTACATCAAAAATAATGTCAGTTAACTAAAGGTTCCCTATTACTATTATTATTAGTTTTCGATTTATTTGAATTTTTAAGGAAAAAAAGTCTCCCAGAAATTAATTGTTTACTCTTGTTTGAATAATTTTTAATGAACTAATTTTTTTTTCTTATGTGGGACATCCTGTATACATCTAACAAATTTTAAATTGTAGCCGTCTGTAACCTACGTATTCCTCCCAAACGAATTTTTTATATCTTTGGTAGTTTTCCCATAAAGCTCCGTCCCGTTGAGCGTGAGCCACCCTGTATATTAAATTAGAAAAAATCCCCATAAAGTATCCTTCAGATGATGCGACTATGCCCAAAATACAATAATTTCATCGCAGAACTTAAAATTTGATGTTTTTTGAGATATTTTTGAGATATCCTGGATACAGACACAGAAATCATCGCGAAAATGGCCAAAAGGTATTCAGGGGACCCTACAACATAAACATACACAGAACACTCAAGGTCGAAAAAATTAAATTAAAAAATTATTTTTGATCTTCAAATGACTTTATCAAATTTTGGATAAAATTATTAACTTCAGTAAAAATTAAATATTAAATAGTATATCTGGACATCAGAGCTAAACAGTATTAAGTCCACTTTTTTTCATTTTTAAGTTTTTGGTTACTCCTACATAATTTTTCCTGCTCCTTCCATTGGTGCTAAGTATTAAGTTCTATTATTTTTAGTTTTCGAGATATATTTTTAAAACCAATATTAAGTCCAATTAAACAAACTGGCAGTCAAAAGTTTCAACAGGCTCTCCTGTAAAATTTTGTAAAATGGACTTAATATTCTTTGGCTCTAAGGTCCAGATATAGAATGAAACTCTGGTACTTATTTGTAAAATACATTTTTTATTGATCCTATTTTTTTTGTAAATAAACATCACTGGTTTTATTATTATTAAATAATATAAAAGGGTGCTTTAAAAAAAGTGGCCCTGTTGCTAGGTTAGGTAACGTACTGAAAAAATAAGTGGGGTTATGTTAGTAAGAAATTATATCAGCATCTGGATTCGCGATACTGGGGGTTAAAATTACATTTGTGTATTTTTTTCTTTAATTTATAAACACATGCAGACACAAGTTACGACTTCAAATGAGTACTGTCAAGATTAATCATAACAAGAAATTATCCAGAGCCTAACAGTTTTACTTTCATTTAACAAATTACAGAGACTAAAAAGTTTCTAAACAAAACATAAATATTCATTTTGTATTTTATTTTCTACCAACAAAGAAATCGCAAAAAGTTCAAGGGAAGAAAAGGTCGACTCTTGAAAAAATATCAACCTGTAGATTATCACAACCATTGGGTCGCCCAATGTTGTAAGCCTTACAGCAAGCCTGCACAACATACGGCCCGCCATTGTCGTTTTCTTGGCCCTTTGTCTCTTTGTCGCTTTGACTCTTTACCAATTTGACCCTTTACTAATTTGACCCTTTATCAATTTGGCCCTTTACCAATTTGGCCCTTTGTCAATTTGGTATTTTACCAATTTGACAAACTATTCATTTTTCAGTAACAAAATTGCATTAAGTGCCTGTTTTTTTTTAAGAAGACCTATTTTGTAGCAACTGATCCTTAAAAGTATGAAAGCAATATTTTATTAACAGTCTTTTCTGAAAATTTTAGGAAAAAAGTAATGGTAAAAAATTTGATAAAATTTTTAATTTAGTTTGTATTTTACCATGACTACATAACTACGTTAATTCTTATTTCTGCTAAATATTTACATGACGGATAATGGTCCATTCTCTTCTATTGCACGTAATATGGTTCTTACAATGACATGTGCCATCAGTCTTTGGATAGTAGCGATGTCGACTTCCCGGATTTTCTGGTATATTCTACACCTTAGTTGTTCCTCATTTTGGACATCCCAACCGCCACTTTTCTGCTCACTATAAACCAAAAATCTTCAATGGGTCTCGCCTGAGGTACATTTGGAGGGTTGTCGACATTGGGAACAAAATTAATGCCATTTTCTGCTAACCAGTCTGTCGTTCTTCTAGCGTAGTGGACGCTAAATCAGGCCAGAATATTGTTTGGTCATTGCGATGATGAGTATCAATAAAGTTTCGTAGCTTTGTAAGATATGTACCTATGTAAATGTCAGCATTGATGGCTTCACCACGAACACGTCTAACATACGCCTGTGAAACATTATTCGATATGGCGCAGCACACCAAGATTTTGTCCTTATCTGTATAGAACCCATCATTGCATTTGATCTCATAATTGGATAATATGAAATAATGTTCATCGTCAATAACAATAACTTTACCAGGAAATTGAATACGTCTTAAAGCACGGCAACATCTCGGAATTCTTTCCAACTGATTGTCGCTAGATTTTGGTGTTTTTCTTTGTTTTCGATACTGAATACCATTTCTGTTTTTTTGCTGCTTCAATTAATCTTCGTTCATTTGCTCGACTCAAAAGTTTAGGAAGTCTACTTTTTGGTAAATTTGTGCAAGGTATACCCTCCTCGCATTCTTTTATTGTCTAGTAGATTGTCGAAACAGATATATTTTGGCCCCTACACACTCTGACAATATCACGATTAGGTACTCGTCCAATCAACTGATAAATGCCTTTACGAATATCCAGGTGGTACGATATATTAAATATTTTAACATAAATGACATCATATTAAACTTTAAACACTTTGATGCTATTTGTTTCCAACGGTAACCTGATGAGACGTTATTCACTGTAGATGCGTTTTATTGTAAAATTTTCCGAAAACTTTTGAGACATACGTTTCACAGATCATTACTGGCCAAACTTTTAGTGGATAATTTAATTTTACAAATATCCCCTAACATCTTCATCATCACCACCGCGGGAAAATTTAAATCAAGCTATACATTGTTTAGATAATATTTTAACAATCGTACTTACAAGTTGTGATAAAATTTTAATTCTTGAGGATGTTAATGTGGATCTTTTTAACAGTACAAATTCATTAATTTCGTGTTTTAATGCCCATAGCCTCACTCAAGTCATAGACGAGCCTACATACATTACTGATCACTCCTCTACATTAATAGATCCAATTTTTTTAAACTGTTCCAATAATTGCACAAGCCATGGTACTATAAATGTTGATCATTTCACCGATCACCAAATGGTATATTGCGATTTATTAATTGATTATAGTTATCAGAAACAAAGATTTTTAACTTATAGAGATTATCAGAACTTTGATTCTTCAGTTTTTGAGCAATGCCTGCGCAGTATTCATTGGGATAACCTTCTGTATCTTAATGATATTGAAAGTAAGGTACGCTATTTAACAAATGCAATATCTACAATTTTCGATGAACACGCTCCTTTTCGAACAGCTAGAATAAGTAAACCTAAAGCACCTTGGTTAACTACTACATTAAAACTCATATTTAAAGAACGAGATACTGCCTTAAAAAAATTCAAATTAAATAAATCCACTAAAAACTGGAACAATTACAAAAGACTTCGCAACTTTGCTTTGGCATCCTTGAGACGAGAATTATCTGCGTATCTAGAATTTTACAAAGCGCTAAAATAATTGAAAATTCAATCGACAAAAAACATCGATTTACCTTCCTCACTTTCCAATACCTTTAAAATTAATGAATATTTTTCCTCTGTGTTCCAAGACAGTAATGAAAGATGCTTGGATTCAATTTTATTCTGCAGCAATTCCATTTTACTTTGCCGACCATTGTTCTTCCGGGTAGAATCTCTCTAAGCAATTTTTTTTTGTAAACATTGCTGTCTTTATCGCCAATAATTTTTACATATTTAATTTTTTTATTTTTATACTATTACAGAATTATTTTAATATTAGTTCAGATTCCTTGGAAGTCGACATTTTTGAGTTACACCTATCTGTATAAATAAAAAATGATTTTTTTAAGATTATGGACTATTGACAAGATTTTATCTCGACATAACCATATTTTTCTCCTATTATAACTAGCATAATATCCATACATTCTTCAAATTTCAAAAACCTTGTTTCATATCATCAAATATCGATTACACTTTGATCGAAATTAATCGACGGTAAATTTTTATACGAGATAGAAGACTCAATCAATTAAAAACGGACGACTAACAATCATATAAAGATGTTCTTCCATCGTTCCTAAGATATTTTAATTGACCTGTATATGTCTTCATTTTCAAATTACATTTCTGGAATTTAGAACTGGATCTTATAAGTTCATGAATTAAACATGATATAAAACCACGAGAAAGCAGTTTCAAATTGATTAAGATATAGGTGGTCTATACAGGGTATTTTGGATTTTAGAATTTGGTTCACTTGAAACGTTATTCTTTGATAAATAAAATGGACATTTAAATTTTTTAAATCTTCTAAAATTATATATAAGGAATGTTTAACTCAAATGGTTGTATGATTAGGGTACTCTTGAATGGTGATATGTAATTAAAAATATAATAATGAGAAAATGATGTGTTTGAGTTTTGACTCACCCAGTATAGATTTATTGCGAATTAAAAAAGTTGTGCATCGGTATAAATTTTGACTATCATCGAAAAACATACCGCAAAAAAATTGATTTTCAATTGTTTCTTATGCAGTATAAAATTTCTTCATTAATTCATGACGCTTCATGAAAAAATTGAAAATTTATTTTGAATATCAACATATTACTTAATTTTTTGTTCATTGTGAATTTGGCTTATGGTTTAAAGAATAACAATACTGTCTAAGGTTTTTAACAATATACTTACGCTGATCTAAAGAAAAATCGTTTCGTTATGGAATTCTTTATTAAAAATCATTTTAACAAAAAATTAATATTTATTTGGGACTGATTTTGTGCTTCAATCCCAAATAAAATAAATTTTTATGTGGGACTGATTTTCTGCATCAAACCAAGTATTTTTATGTATGACTGTAATTGTATATAAATCCCTCATAAAATCAATTTTTATGTGGGACTGATTTTGTGTATTAATCTCACATAAAATAAAATTTTATTAGGTAACAATTTTGTGTATCAATCCCACATAAAATTAATGTTTGATTAATTTTGATTAAGTAAATTTTATGTGGAAATGATTTAGGGAAAATTAATTTAATTTGGAATTAATTAATACTGGTATTGTATTTTATTCTCTCACCAAAAATGGCACCAGTGACATTTGAATTAAGCTACTGGTATGAAGGATTTTAATGTATATGAATTGTATATGAAAACTTTAGAAATATTTGGAACGACTGTAAATTGTTTTAATAAAAAAGAACAGGGTGAAAGGAAAATTGAAAATGTAAATTTTGTTAAATATTATGTATTAAATACTCTTTAACTAAATAGTCTACCCCAATTGCGATTTATTTGTATAGTCATGCAAAAAAAACATTTTACTTTGACCACACTATAAAATTTATATATTATATACTGTATGTATTTGTACAAATGTTGAAAATCGTTTATATATTAATTTATTTTTCTATAATTTAATTTTTGTATTATTTTGTGAATTTATCATCATTTAGGTTATTGAATGTAAAATGTACAGTATTTTTATTTTGACCCCCATGGGGTTTTTCTTAACACAATCTAACTTTTGTATATTATTATTTATTTTTATGAATACGCATGATTTTGCACCTTATTTGTCCAAATAATCCATGTTTTAATGGTAACTAATAAAGAAACAATAATTGCGAAATACCAAATAATGACTGAGGCCCCCCCTGAAATTATAGGTACATTTTGATATTTAAAAAAAAAAACACACACACAGTTCGTCTTACTAAAAAGCGACACAATTCAAAAATGTACAACCCTTTGAACGAAATAATTCAATAAAATATTTAGCAACGTTACCAGTTTTCGTTTTTATCGCAGTTTTCAGGTAAAAATTTACTTTTTCGAATTGTGATACTTTCTAGTATGTTGATCTGCAATATGTATATCTCTGTTGTTAAATGTTAGCCTCATTACTGTTATAAAAGATCTGTAGGCATTGTCTTTAATTTATACAATACATTCCAACTCGTATGCATTTACAATAAAATTATAAGAAACGATACAAATTTGTTTTATTCTTTATCACTTTCAAATGCCCAAATTTCCGTTTTTTTATTTCAAAATATAACAGGTAAGTGTATTTGTATGATAATATTCTTAAAATTGGTGTAGATAAAGTAGAGTATATTATTTTCACCACTTTTCTAATTTTTTCAAACGTCAAATCAAAATATCATCTACTTAACCATTTACAATTTCTTAAACAACTGCTTCTCTTTCAAAATTACTTTTTATTCGATAAATGAAATACTACATTTTTTCTACGTATTTTGCGTCATCTGCTAAAATAAGTAAAAAAACAACAATATTAACAAATTTTTAGTTTTTAATACTATTTTAGAAACTTATTTACCATAAAAAACAAATATTTAAATATAGAGAAGGACTATAGATATTTAGACTTTCAATTTTACGAAACATGAAAAAAATTACTACTTTATAATTATCAATGAATTTTTTTTAATTCTTCTATTCTAATAAAATGTTTTTACACAAATTTGGAAATAAGTAGCAAGAAATATATTTAAAATCTATTTCAAATAGTTTTTCAGTTTTTTGTAAAGAGACCTTAGAACTTTTAAAATTAATTAAAAAAAGTACGAAATTGTTAATAAGGAAACTAGTTGAACTTGGTGTAATAGGAACATGCACATAGTAGGCAGATATCGCTGTCGCTAATCGCACATAAATCTGGATCTGGTGTGTAATCGAGCGAACAAAAGTCAAAGTAGTATTGATGCTTGCTGAGAGCGATCTCCCACTGTTATGTGCAGGTTCCTATTAAACCTTATTCAATTTATGCTCAGTCTTTGAGACATTATTTTTTTAAATATATTTTTTTAAATCGTAAACATTTTTTAATATATATATTAAAAGTAGGTTTCTTGATATTTGTATGCCTATTTTATTGATGCCATATTTCCTGTACTCCGATAGAGTTTATTTAAATTTTTAGTGCTATGGTGGATTTTTGAAATGGTTTTAGATATTATTATTATAATAATAGTGTTTTTGAGTTTTATTTAGTGTTTATTTAAGTTAATTTCGTTATAAATATATACATCATGGGCTTAAGACAAATTTGTTGGAAATCTTCACCTATCTGGATCCTACACGAATATTCAAAAATATTTGTTTAGTATTTGCAAGACATCTTTTATTATGTAGTATCATTCTTAAATTCCGAAGTAAAAATTCTGGCACTTACTAAACATGTAAACCAAAATAAAACTGCCACAATACAGAATGCAGTTCGATTCTGGACATAAAATGTTGCAAAATCTAAATAATGTGAATATATAGGACCTCCGTTTTGATTTTGACATGCAATCTTTTACACAATATAATTATAACATATTGCAATTTACTGGGGACTTTAAATTTAATTTTTAATATAATCACTATGAGAAATAAACAAATATAATGCTTATAAACAAGAAAAAAAATTAAAAATTCGAATTGATAAATTGATATAAATTAAACTACAAATGGCGACGATATTAATAATTGATGAACTGATTAAAACATATATATAAATGAACTGATGTAAAAAATCGTAGAGATACTTTCATAAAGGAATAATGGTTTGAGGAGTCGTTGATTCGTAACTTTCTCAAAAATGAATAAAAGAACGTTGCTGTTATGGATAACGCTTCGTATCATTTAGTTATATTTAGATATAAAAAATTAGCTATTTGAAAAAACATTTTATTTGACGACTCCTATTTAAAATATTAGCTGCTTGAATTTTCCAACGCATACAAAGACCAATACGCAACTGTAAGATTGACAAAATACGGGGTAACTGTTTTACGCTTACCACCGTATCATTAACCCGATTAAGATGGCATGGAATCAAATAATGCGCTATACTGCTATGATTTCAAGAAACAGGATCATCGTTGATTGATAAATAAATCATTTAAATATGTCACTGAATACAATGAGCGTAATTGCGTTGCATATATCAGAGAAAAAAGGGAAATACAAAACTGTGTCGCTGATAATCTTCCAGACAACGTTGATGAACTCATTATAAGAGTAAATTTTGGCGACAGTTCTGAAAGTGAGATTTCAGACCTTAACGGTGACTTATCTAACAATAACCCATCTATTGCGTACAATTTGTTTATTATTCGTTAACTTATAATTTTGAAATTCATTGTTTATTATTTAATATTGAACTACAAATTTTTAAGATAAAATTTAAACCCCTGAGACCCGACCTGTTTTTTTTTGGCCTATCCCAGCATAGCTACGGCTGGCAACTGTGTGCTTCCTAAGACTTCACACGCATTATCAGTTTTTCTCGCACTATAGTTGACTTTTCATATATTTAATGACTTAAACGCCACCTAGCGTCCTCTCAAACTACGGGCCCAGTATCTTATTATTCTTATCTTATATTTAAAAATTCGCTGACTGTTTTTATCCATCATTCACGTACCGTATACATCAGCAACTCTAGACACATATTTTTCACTCTTTCGTGGTTTTACAAAGGATTGAGTAAGGATGAAATAGGTGACGTGTACGATATGATCGCAGGAGGCGACCCCCCGTGGCCTCTTATTGTTTAGGCTGGCTAGTGCGACTTGTGAAAGCCTTGCCGGTAGGTAATCTATTACCTTTACAGTGGTGGAACAAGGGACGAAAGAAAAAACAGTCGAGTAGGTATTATTAAATTACAATTTGTAAAAAAAAGAAGATTCAATTTAATACATTCTTTTTACAGTGATGGTAGCCATTATAATCATGGATTCAGTAGCTTCCTAATATTAATATTTAGTAAGTAGATTAAATGATTTCTTAGTAACACCAATTCTATGGAGGCAAATCTAATATTCTGGCATGTCAGAGTAGGTAGTTTGTTAACACTGACTTCATCATCTCTCTCATTGCATAGTTAACACCATTAAATCTGTTATGAACGACAGTTGTTGATCTATGTCAAGCATGAACAATCTTTCTTTTAGTAGTAAATAATAAAACTAAATTCAACGTCAGGATAAATCAAATAACAATTTCAATTTATTAAAGGTGAGAAAAAAAAAGAAAACAGGTTCTTTATATCTCACAAAGTTTGTATTTGAACGGCGACCTGTTTCGAAGTTTGGTCACTTCATCATCAGGCGCACCTAGTGTGTAAGAGAAAAGGGGAAATTGATGAGTTTTAAGTTGTTAGAAAAAAATTAAAATTAAAAAATGAATAAATGATGGGATATTGATTTACTTTAAGACAAATTAACAAAACTAATATACTAATACTACTAATATTTATTTATTCATACTAACAACTGAACGAAAAGGAGTAAAAGACGAAAAGAAAATGTGAAAAATTTGTTAATGAATATTGAAAAATATATGTTGGAACAAACCATCTACAACAAAATGGTATAAGATAATAAATGGCTATATCATATAATAAAAAACACAAAAACTCACCATAATCTCTTATCCACTAGGGATAAAACTATTGGATTACAATCTTGAAGGAATAGAGGAGAACTGAACATTTATTATTTTTTTATTTTTTTTTTCTTTCTATAAAAGCATTGGTATTTGTCGGGGGTTAAAAATATTAAAATTAAAAACGTCACATGTTAAAATAACGATACTAAAATAATAATAAGCCTACAATACAAAGTCAAAAAACTGCCAAAGTTCTTAATGTTTACAAAAGTAAAATGGATACTGGCAATGAATATTGAAACGGTTTGAAGAATTCAAATTTAAAAAAAATAATTTTTAATTTATAGGGGAGCTGCCCTCCAGTAGGGAGTGGCAAAACTAATAGTTAATGAAATTTAAAAAAATTATGTTTATAATAAGTAAATCTCCAGTAGGTGGAACTACAAAAAGTTTTTTAAAAAAATGGAAATATGAAAACGAAAATATGAAAAAATTGAAAAAATGTGGGGACAGGAGACGAAAAATTTGACAAATAAAATTTAATTGTTTTAGTTTAAAAATAATATTTATTTATGTAAACCCATGAACAAATTACTAATCTGGGGGGAATTTTAATTTTAGGAGAAGTTAGCAACACTGTGACAACGAAATGGCAGATCTAAGAAATTTTTAAAATTTGACAGTACATGGGAAAAAATTAAAAAATTAAACCACATGTAGAAAAGATTCTTGGGGAAATTTAGAAAAGACTAATAATGAAAGGGCAATAATAATCAGCGAAATAAGAAATTAAAAATGGAGAAGAAATATAATCGTTGAACAAAAGTTTTTTCTATTTAAAGCAAAGTGTAGAAAATAGGAGAAGATACAAATTGGATCTGTGCATTCAAACAACCTCCTGAGGAGGCTTTAAGATATCTCATTATTTCTAGGTTCTCAAAACTATTAAGAGTGGATCTATTAAAGGTGTATAAGATTTTGAGAAATCTGTTGAAAAATCAAAGTCATGTCCTGTATCTATAAGATGGTTGGCAAAATGAGAAAAACCAATATGGTTTTGGTTCATACATCTAGTGTGCTCTTTCAGTCGTGTTTTGAAATTACAAAAAGTTCTACCTACGTAGTTAGAATTGCAATTTAATTTATAGATCCCAGATAAAAGGATGTCAATTTTATCTCTATTCCTAATAAAAGCTTATATATAGAATTGGAACTCTTAAAGGAAACTTTGAAAAGGCTAACCACTTTGTAATAACAAAATGCTACCTATGAAGGTAAGATATACATACTTCTTACTAGTAATTTGTTCGGGTATTATAATTTGTGAGTTATTAATAAAGATATCGTTTTGTTGAATTTTATTTTGTTTACTTCTCAACATTTTGTCAATCAGACACGGTTCATAGTTATAGTCAATACTGTCAATAGCAATACCTTTTTTAGTATTAAGTTTTTTATCAAAGGACTCTTTTGTCAAAGGTATATTGAGTAATCGCTCTAGATAACAATTAAAAGCAGTCAGTTTATGCTGGATGATTAGAAGTATAGTCTATGACTGTGCCTGTATGTGTTGACCTTCTGAAAATGGAA